CTGCCTGACGCCCTATACTGAATTGCTGCACGATAAGGAGAATCGCCCACGAGAATCCCTCACCGCAGTCCTCGTTTATCACCGATTGCAGTGCTGTATTGCGAACGCGGCTCCCTCGTTAACAGGTGACTTTCCGATCTGTTATCGGTGACACAATTGTTAATAGAGATAGTGATTGTAGTACGCGTGTACAGCGTAAGAGAAACATTCGATAACGGAGATATTTCATTTATGCTACGTTATCGTGAGACGAGAGATTCTTTTCGGAGCAACGTCCCGTTCTTTCTCTGTAATAGTATATATAATAAATTTTTTAACAGTAGTTTTATATTTTCCTTGATATATTATACACATAATATTTGTTACGTTTGATTTTGGATATCTTATCAGAGAAAATTACTTGCTAAATTATAAAACGGAATAACATAGATAAAACATTGTTGAAAAGTGCAATCAAATAATATGGAAGATAAAATCAGAGAGATAGAAAGAGGGAGAGAGAGAGAGGGGGGGGGAGAGTGCATATATAAATGTTGAAGACATTACTTTCAACGTAGAAAAGTTGCCTTGACATTTTTTAAACATTTCTCTGAAATACTAATTTAGATAATTGAACGTCGTAATCCTTGCCGCGCCATTAAGCACACATAAGGCCCGATGACGAGCTTGAGCTTTTATTTATACACTATGTGATATGCCCGTTGACCCCATATTGCATTATTATATTTACGCAATAATCGTGATATAAATATTTTGACATTAATCTTTCACATTTCCCGTAAATCCACGCTGATAGTTAGCGTTGATAAAAGCAACGAAGTTGTGTCGCTAGCCTTCTCCGTCGGGGCGGTTTTGTCAGTGCTGTTATTATGTTCTTTACCGAGATTTGCCGTTGGTTGACCTCTTTTGTTCTTACTAACATACGAGATACCGATCGCGCGGTTATTTTGTATTTCCCGAACGTATAATATACATCGTCGATGCAACGCATTTACATGTCGAATAATTCAAAACCATCGGAATAAATATGTCAACTAGAGTTCAGTTTAGATGTGGCGTGCAATAATGCGAAAGTAGTTGGACGTTTTCTATATAGCCGTGCATGTCGCTTCGTTTTTACTCAAGCAGACTTTCATGATTATCACGACAATAGATAATAGGAACTTTACAATTCTTTTAATTATACTGATGAAGAGTAAATGTGCCGTATTAAGTTAATCATTAAATTTACATCATACATACATAGTAACGCATATTTATCATACATACAATAACGTATATAATAATCATGAATATAATAATGCATATTTTTTTGTCTTATTGATGCAGCAACAAATTTTGTTAAAATTTACAATTAGATCTTCATGTTACATTTTATATGGCATATTGTTTTGAGTCAAATTAGATTATTTTTTTCATATTTCTATTTCGTTACTTTAACATGAGATAAACATGAGTATTGTATGAGCCATTCATAAGGGATAAAACTTTTACAAATTGACTACTAAAGTTACTATAAAACTTACGTACATCTGTCTGGGGACATTTATGATTATAACAACGAGACACACACAGTCGATGACGAGAACTTCACAATTTTTTTTTAATTTCACTGATGAAATAAATATGTCGTATTGTCGATCATTAAATCCACATCATAAAATGACGTAAATTTTTTGTTCTATTGATGCAGCAAAGAATATATTAAAACTCACACACAGACTTTCATAATACATTTTGCATGACATTGTTTTGAGTAACTTTTGTTAATCTTTTCCATATTTCTCTTTCACATTTCTGTTTAGTCATTCTATTTGATAAATATGAATGCTATATGAACCACTTATAAGGGATGTAACCTATATAAATTGATTAGTAAAGTATTTGCTGCCAAATTTACGTATACCTGTCTGTCTGGCTCTAGCGGGCGGCTGCTAACGAGTCTCTGTGCTTTGCTTTCATCCTAGACTACGCTCCTGGTTGTTATCAGTAAATTTCGAACGGCCGCACCCCAAATCGATTCTCAAAGTTTTGGCACGGTAACCTTTCGGGAATTTCCGAGTCATCGATTTTTACCGCGCGCGATATTCGGACGTCTTTGCCGGGCTATTTTTGCGATCTTCGCGCAGCTGACCCCGAAATCTAGATCTAAAACGCACAGCTTCAGAGTGGCAGAGAAAGAGAGAGAGAGAGAGAGAGAGAGAGAGAGAGAGAGAGAGAGA